TGTTTGACACAGATCACCTTCACGGCACCTTCTCACTCTGCGAATGGCTTCCCCCGGACCCGGGGACTCGCCCTTTCCGTCCCGCCTGCGGCCAGCTGCTTCTCCACAACTTTGTTTGAGATCCTTGAGCAATAATGACTGAAAACAGTCGGCTAGTTCTGGCTCTAACTGCACTCAAGTTTATAAAATGGAATGAGATGTTTGTTTTTGTACCCATCGTCATTCATGACGCAGATTTAAAGATAATAAACCACTTTCGGTGCTCCGTACACAGCTGTTCTTTGTCCCATTCTTTCCCTGTGTCCCAGCGGGAATCCCAAAAGCGATTCCTACGGTTTTCCCCCACAAGGTTGTGAAAAGCGACGGAGACACATTAATCCTGATGATGTGGATTTTTGAACCACACTTTAATTATAAACCGCCTGCTCTGACTTATCAGTTCCCCGTGGTCTTGATTGCATGTTCTGCGATTTATGAAAGTGCACTTTGGCAATGAATCACGTCTTTGGCTCTGCGACTTTCTGGTTCATTCTGGCCTTAGGAATTGAGCATGACTTTGCCCCAGTATTCATGCCCATGACACTGTCCCTCTGGAAGAGAGTGTGTGTTCTGTGATATCTCCGCATCCTGAAGAAGACGCCTCCCTGCAGTGTTTGTGGGGCTTGGAGTTTATGGGTTTAACCCCCCCACCAATGGTCTCCCATCCACACCTGCTCCACGCATGGACTATTTGTTTTGCGCATCCTTACACATCATTTTGCCCCCCAGTCCTCTCTGACTTGGTCTCTGGCCCTTGGAAAGTGGACACCTGTCTGCATCCAGTCTGAATCACGTGCCAGGTCTGTAGTCCCTTTTTCTGATGGTAAGTTGTTTTTTTGAAACAAGTTGCTTTAAGAGTAGTGAAGAATAGTGTTTTTGTATCTCATACCTTTTTTCAAATATTAGTTTGAAGAAATGACTTCATCAGAGATTGGATGGTTTCCAAGTGCAACTGACATAAGTGCGACTACGCATGGGGAGACGCTACACCTTATAACGGCTGGGAAACCTACCCGCAGTTTCATTTGGACCGAAAGCCCTAGGGGGTTGTGGTTAGCATTATGTCTGCGGAATTTCCTGTTTTGCTGCGGAGGAGTCGCCTCGTCCGCGGCTCTGCTCGGCTCTGTTCGGCTCGGCTCGGCTTCTCGGGGAGAGGGCGGAGTTCATGGCGGAAGCCCGAGGCGCTGCCTTCACCCGTCATATAAAGGCAAAAGCCAGCGCATTACTCTGGATTTCTGAAAGTGCTTTCTGTGTGCATTTCAGGGGACTTGACTGTACACATTTCTATATATCTATATTTCTATATAATCATCTCCAGTGCGATTAAAACTGGTTTTATAGGCTGTCCCAGAAAATCGTTGGCTTTTAAGGTAAGCGTTTCTCAGACAGGTGGCCGTGCATGCATGCGGCGTCTCTCGCTTTATGAGGCATTTCAGTAGCGTTGCAGCTGGACTGCTCCCGATGGCTCCCGTAAACGTCAGCGGCGGATGTTTACCTTGTGTTTACCGGGATTTTAACGCGTTACCTGCATAATCGGCATTTGCATTCTGGGTTTTGTGCGCTTGGTTGTGCAACCACGTCTATATCTGTATGACAGATCATACGCGCTTGCATGAGGTCATGCCGCCAGATTAGTTTGATATCTGTGATGTGATGTGTGGTGGTATTAGCGGAAGGGTGGCTAGTTTAAGGGGTATGTTTTCATATGAACGATGCGTATTTTAACGTTTATCTTATATATTTTCATTCTGGTGTGTGTTGCTGCGCAATATCCGCTGGTTTTATATCATGGGTGGTTAGGAAGAAGTAAAAAGACTCACTCAGTCTTTAGACACTTAATGAAAATCCGCTGTTCTTTTAACGCTGAGTGCCCGTTTGCCTCCACGTTAAAATACCACTTTATGTATGCATGTATGTATGCAGGTATAATGTGCACATTACTGTTAACATGCACGGTAGTCTGTGTGAACCCCAAATGTGGATTTTGTGCATTCAGGATCAGTAGTTCTTTATGGTGGCGAAGAGGTTTAGCATTTGTTTAAAAGCCATTTACCCCAATATACAATTTACAAGCCTGTGAGTATTCAGGCCAGCCCTTGCTAACGAGTTCCCTTTCTGCTAATAAAAACTGAGGAATTTAAGGGCTTTGAATGCCAAATCTCAACATACTGAGTTTTAATCTTTTGAGCACTGTTGTATCCATTAGCCATTATTTGGATATGCATCCCAGGGCAATCGAGTTGTTTGCACCTTAAGACGTAGTTCATCATCGCGGTGACTCACTAAGGGCTTTGATCATGTCTTGTAGCAGCAAAGTTAACTAATCATAGTACGTGATGGTAGACGGCAGGGATTGATTTCACCCTAATCTGATGTACTTTCTGTGGCCTGTTGTCACAGCGCATTCCTGTTGCGACAAGATAACATGCGCGAGGAAGGGTGAACGTGCAGGATTGTGAGGACCCTGTCCTCCGCACGTCCCACGCACACCGCCGCTCGTGTCTGCGATCATTACCTGTATTTTACATTTTGATGAAATGTGCTGGGTTCAGTGATGTATCGGTTGTGGGATGTTGTGAGTCAGACATAGGGATGTTCCCTTTAGAATACTACAAAGGAAATATTTGCCTTATTGATTTTCCACCCTTTTAATTCTAATGTTGTATTAAACTTCAATTGAAAGTCTGCCGTTCCAGATGACATCCTCAGTTGACACCCCTGCCTCTTCTGCCCCCCAGGTTTGAGTGCTGATTTCACGATGGGCCCCTACATCACACTGAGCCTCTCTGCCTGTCTGTTCCTCTGCTGCTGGGGGGTGCTCTCTCAATCCCCCTCCTATGGGGAGAGGGGTTCGGATCTGGGCATAAAGGTGTTCCAGCAGGTGGTGCTCTCGCGGCCGCAGGAGAACGTCCTGCTGTCTCCCCACGGCATAGCCAGCATCCTCGGCATGCTGCTCCCGGGCGCCGATGGGGTAACGCGCCACCAGCTGGTCACCGCACTACGCTACAAGAAGAACGGTACCTGCCTCCCTCAAGCCCTCCCTCTGCCTTCCAGAAAGTCTCTTCCTCCATTCCTGCCCTCCATCTCCCTCTGCTTTCCCTCCATCTCCACGGCCTCTATATAAAAAATTATATACATATAAACAAAAACGCATATTAACAGACATTGCACCAAGTTGCAGAGACCTAAACCGACTGTCCTCCACATCTTTCTAAGGTCCCTACAAGATGCTGAAAAGGTTACACAAGAGCTTGACCTCCAAGTTCAACCAGGACATCGTGACCATCGCCAACGCGCTCTTCACCCAGCAAGGCTTTGACATCCATGAGAAGTTTGTGGCCACTAACAAGGCCAACTTCCAGTGTGAGGTCAGGACCCTTGACTTTGCGAACACGGATGGTGCTTCAGCCAGCATCAACAGCTGGGTGAAGAACCATACCAAAGGTGAGATCTTACACAAACCCTGGTCAGAGTTGACACTTAATAGCTGGAATTAATGGGCACAAATGTAGGATTTTTTTTGCTTAATATGTGCACGGCCAATGCCTTTTCCTTCAAGCAGATGATTGTTATAGGATGGTGTTTATCTTGGTTTAGTTTAGACCATGCTTGTGTTATGCCGTAAATAAGACCCTTGTAACCAATTTAGTTCTTTTTGGCTTGCATTACAACTTCCCTAGAATTCTTCATCCACACTACTTCTGGAACTAATTAAGACTTAGGAACTGAAGTCTAGTTTGTCTTTTAATGTCCCAGTGTAGCACGGTATGCTGTTACTCTCTGCCAAAGTTTAGTCTGTGAAGTTCCCTCCAATAGCCAAGGTATCAAGTTAACTGTTTTCATTACCATGGCAGTCAGTACGTTTACGTGCACACTAAGAAGATCAAATTTTTGTGGTAGTCCAACTAAAGCCGGACTTCTGAAGTGCATGTAAACATCTTAGTCTGACCTGACATTGAACTAAATTGAATTTCTCTAAATCAGACTGACACCCAGAAAATGCGCTTGGGAGTGGATTAACTCTTTTACTCCTGCATGTATAAACTGGCCTAGGCACTCTGCACAGATTCCCTCCCCTGGGCTTTGACCCAGAAGTAACAGAAGAAGCTTGGAGCACAGCAGAGGCTGTACAACACGTACAAAATGCACAGCACTGTAAAGCTGTCCAATTCACCGCTCAGCTAAAGGGTGCTTTTCCACCGCACCGGGTACCGTACTTTTGGTACTTTAAGAAGGTACCAAAAGTACGGTACTTCAAGGTGTTGGTTTTCCACTGGCGTAAAAACTGGTACCGGTGCCAAATGACATCACAGCGCCTGGCGCTGTGATCTTATACTGAATTCGAAAAAATGGCTGCAGTAGGACTGGACAACGTGTGATATTAATGCCAACATCACATGTTATGCACATCCAGTACTTGTATCGCTAGTCGGCTAGGTTAAGATCAGGCTTTTTTGCACCTTCAGTTTGGTACGGATATTGTAGCGCAGGGAGTTCAAGTCTTGCTAAAACATTTTTACTCTGTCATAGGGAAAAAAAAGTTTTGCAATTTTATATAATTATAATTATTAATTTTCAAGATTATCTAGTATATGTTTAAAAATCAGTTTAAAGTTTACCTCCGCTGCTTTTGCATGAGTGTTGCATGCGTTCTCTGAGACAATAATAATCATTTTCATCCTTGCCGTTTAAATCACTCCTAGATGGGTTCATGAGAAATTTATGGTCAACTGCCTTTGTTTCATAAATACCCCAATATTTATTACATAGTAAATTATATAAAATACTTTATTTCTTGTTCTGCTGTCCTGATCTTGTTGTATCTATTCTTCCTGACTAGATCGCAATTAAAGCTTGTACCACTTCATTTCTCCACACCCCAATTATTATTAGTTTTATTGTTTTTTTTAGTCTGTGACGTAATGGGCCAACCGGAAAAAGCCCAGTGCTAAAAGGAGCCATATCGCCACCTATGGTAGTAGAGTCTGACATACTTCGGTCAATAAATGGTTTCCCCTCCCATGTATGTATACTGGGACAAGGACAGTCGTTCGATTAAATGGTGTCATCAAGCTATAACCGTAGCTGGACTAAGCTGTAAATGTAGTGAGTGATGTGACTCTTCACTTAGTGTCTGGGTGAAATGACTGTGGTGTCCCCATCACAGCTACTCCCTACATTTTTTGACACTTATGTGTCCCCTGGCGTGTGCCTGAGAAGTCTGGCACGGTGGGAAGTGTTCAGAATGTGTGACCTGCCACATCTGTGACGTTAGGATGTAAACTAGGCTGTTGTGATAGTGGGATTCTCTGTCCTGTTAATACTTCAGCTTTGAAAGGTGTTCTGAAGGGACTTTGACGAGAACTCTAGTTTTAATATCGCATCTGTCCCCGTCCAGGGATGATTCCGCGTCTGATCGAGCCCCAAATGTTGGATCCAGCCTTCACTCGCTTGGTGGTGCTCAATTCCATCTACTTCAAGGGACTGTGGAAGTCTCGCTTCCAGCTGGAAAACACCAAGATGAGGAATTTCCACTTGGCGGACGGCACAATCTCCAAAGTGCCCATGATGTCTCAGCTGAATGTTTTCAACATCGGTGAGTCTAGTGCCCCCTTTTCCACTCTTGTGTCATCTGTGCCATTTTTGACGAAGGTCAGGCTTCTGAGTGTGACTCACTGGGATTTTATTTGCTGAAGGCTGTGATTTTAATTCCTCCCTGTACTGACCGTACAGTTAAGAGGTGGACGACCCACCACGAGAGGTCTTTGCTTTCTTTAGAGTAGTTTCAGAACTTCATAGCAGACTATGAATGGAGGTTAGAGCCCTGCATGGGCCTGAAATATCAGCCTGAGTTTTTGACCTAAATTTGCTGTCGAGCTTGCAGACCTCTAGTGGAATCTGAAACATCTGTGTCGACCCACCAGGCCAGGCCGTCACTCCGCAGGGTCTTAAGTTCAAGGTGGTGGAGCTACCGTACCACAGCAACATCAGCATGCTGATCGCCCTGCCCCTCGAGGAGGACATGTCCCTTTCGGCGATCATCCCCCACGTCAGCACCGCCGCCGTGCAGGGCTGGGTGCGACTGCTCACTCAGAGGAAGGTTCGGCTGCTGTTGCCCAGGTGAGCGCCGCCCTTGTGGCTTCAGAAGGTCGACAGGCTGCTGTTTTCACAGTATCCTGAACCGGCAGTGAGCACCCATTCAGTGTCAGTGTGCTGTGACACCATGATTCACTATCTGATAGCTGCTTCCCCTTTGATTCCTGCACTACTACTTCTGCTGTGAAATCACAACGGTCTCAGTTTCAGAAAACCCATTAGTCTTTGTTCCTCTTTATCACAAACTCTTATGATCTTTCCTTCATGCCAGGAGATGTTAAGTTTCCTTCAAAGCACATCTGTTGAGCTTAAATAAGCTGGGTCAGCCTGTCTGCTGGACCCCTTCCTCATGCTCTGCTTCCGGCAGCCAGCCCTGAGGCCGTGACCATCTCCTTCTCCTCGACTCTGTTCCCCTGAAGGTTTTCTGCAGAAGCTGAGGTTGACCTGAAAGACTCCCTCTCTGCCTTGGGCATCACCGATATGTTTTCTATGGGCAAAGCTGATTTTAAGCACATAAGTAAGTAACACAAGGTGTCACTCCCCTGCAGAACAGGGTGTTGCCTTTTGCACTGGGACATTTACAGGAAGAGCCTGACACTATTTGTTTGCGAATGTGACTGACAATTACAGTCAATGACTCATGTCTCGTGGCTTTGTGTGATTTTTTTATTATTATTTTTTTTTTATGGTTCCTTTTGCGAAACTTTACTTCCGAGTGAGGAAAAAAAAGCTATTTGTGACTGTTCAGTGCCCCCTAGAGGTGACATAGCAAATGTTTATTTACTTGATGTGCTTTGCTTTAAGGCACAGAGCCTCTGCACGTCTCCAAAGCCCTACAGAAAGCTAAGATCGAAGTCACAGAAGATGGGACTAAAGCTGCTGCTGCAACAAGTAAGGGGATGCTAAGAGTGTGTGGGCTCACCCATAATGCACCAGTGTGTTAGGGCCCCAGTAGGGGCGGGGCTGACCGTGCCATAGCACTAAAGGCAGACTTTTACCTCTGTGTCGAATTGACGTCATAAGTATGGCGTAGCTGTGGATCACACAGCAGCCTACGCCATAGCCTGACGGGCACCTCCCCAGAAATGTAACTACGCATTGAACCGAAGAACGGTGATTGGTCCCCTTGGCAGCATTCGTCGTCTTTATGGGAGTGAAGCCTTCATCCCCAGGTGTACTGCCATCGCTGACTGAAACTGATGTGCTATTGAAATAACCCTCAGCAGCCGTCACAGCAACAGGTTTACAAAACACTCAGGATGACTGCGCCAATTTTCCTTACCTCCATTGTGTTTATTCGTACTTTACACGACTAGAAAAGTAAAAAGTAGTATAGACACTAACTTCATCAGGGAAAACGCAGAATAAGTGACTTTGAAGTGCCTTGGCATTTCTCCAAATTTGTCTACGGTAAGTTTGGAGCAGCAGAAATTCCAGGACTCGATTCATGGATATGTTAAATGTTTTTTTTAATTATTTTTTCTTCCTGTTTCACTTGTGTGATTCAACAAGTGAATATACTGCAGGGTGGAAAGACAATGAGTGCAATATCCAAAATTATGCATCACCTAGAGTTTTGCTGATGTAATTGCTGAGCAACAGACACACCAGTGCTCAAGTATGAATGCTCCTAACGTAGGTCATAGAGTAGGATTGACACAAGTCACTGTGATGCACTGGTAGCTGGTGAGTGACAGGAGTGTAACCTGCCTGTCATACGCAGCTGCAATCTTGCTGGCGAGATCATCTCCCCCGTGGGTCACCGTGGACAGACCGTTCCTCTTCATCGTCCGGCACAACCCTACAGGTGCGAAGGCGCGGATCGACACTCTCGCACCGCTCATCCCTCATCTTTCCATTCCCGTGCTATATCGCTTAGTTATCAGCGCATGTGGTCATAACATGCAAGCACAGCGTGTAAATCATACGCTTTCCTCTTTAGGTACGATTCTCTTCATGGGTCAGATGAACAAGCCGTGAGGGCTTCCCGTTGGAGGACACAAGCAGGACGTCTTTCTGAAGCTCCAGTTCTCCAAAGCCAAAAGAGACACGAACGACTCGGACGAACATGTCCTGCTCATCTGTCCGTCTGTCTGCGCACATCATGCGGTGATCGTTTAATGAGTGGGGACTCATCCCTTGGTGTTTGTCTTAGAGAACCATACCAATGTAGACATGTAAGAAATTATATTCTTAGCCATTCTCCATGCATGAGCCATTTCCCCTCTCTGCCCCTCGTACTGGGTGAACACTGTTTCCCGGCAGGTTACTCCAATACTGTAATGCTGCTGCTATGAAGTTTATATATAATATATATATAAATATAAATATTGATTTCCCCTAAATGTCAATGTATTTTCATGGCATTTCAGCACCTTTTTATTTTATAAATACGACCGAAATTACCACCAGTGCAACTTTACGATCAGGCTTTTTTTTTTATTATTTTAGTCACCCAAGTTTATATCTATATATATATATATATACGGAAATACTTTTTTTAAAACGTGGTTTTGCAGATATGTTCCTGTAAAGCCATCTGTTACTGTCGAAGTATTTCTCTTTAGTAGTATTGTGTTAAATCGACAGTTATTTATTGACATTTCCTTGCCGTTTTATACAACTTTGTTTCCCAAACGTTTCTCTGTCTGTAACAATGCAGTATTTAATAAAGTATTAAACTGGGGAATGGCTGAATGTTTTATTTATGATGATGAGCGGTCATGCATGTGGGTGAACTCGCCGGACTGAGTAAACGCTCATTCGGAATAGCTGACGGATTAAAATCCCGAGTAACCTTACTTCAGGCATCAGCGGCGGAGAAACGGAGACCCCTGCCGAAGATGCGGCGGCTGTGCCGATACACAGGAAACGCGCTCCGTCCGCTGCCATAAAGAAGCGCGTTGCATGCTGTTGATGTGAAGTGGGAACATGTTTTAGTATCTTACCCAGGAGGAGAAGCGCTTTCGGTTTCAGTTTTGGTGCGAAAAGCTGAAGGTTTACCTGCGGCGCGGCCCTGCACGGCTCCGCTTACTGCTGGTCAGCTGACTGAAAAGAGGGAGAGACGGAGAGGAGGAAAAGAGGAAAAAAAAACGGAACGAAAATAGACATGGCGGCGGAGATCCACTCGAGGCCTCAGAGCTCCAGACCCGTCCTGCTAAACAAGATCGAGGGGCACCAGGATGCGGTGAACGCCGCTCTGCTCATACCAAAAGAGGACGGCGTGATCACGGTTAGCGAGGACCGGTAAGCACCGCTGCCCGTCGGCGGCCCCGCCGCGCTGCGCTTGGACGGCCTCTCGGATTCCCCGACGCTTAGAGATTCTGCTTTTGGAGACCGGCACCGATCGCAGTTTAAACCGACTTTCGCTCGGTTTGTGTCCGGTTAGGTTCAAGGTTCAACGATTTCAGTTCTTTGTTTGACTCAGTTAGCCAGCCAGCACTGGCACCCGTCTGATACTCGATGTAATACTCGCTTACAGTTCATACTAAGTTAGCGAAACGTAACTTCAGTTCCTCTTAAGTTTTGTTTTAAAAGTCGTTAAACGTAATTTTCTGTGCTGCATGATGGCTCTGCTGTCTCGTCATACCGACTATTGTCGCTCGAATCCCATGTGGCGCCCTGGGAGGCCGCCTATATCGCCTATAGGCTTGACCGGCTCTGCATGTAAACACCAACGCGGCACGCTTTGTGTCTGCAGCTGTTCGCCGGTCTTCATCCGGCCTGTTGCAGGTCGCCTTCACAATTTCATGTGCACGTAAACCGATAAACACGCCCGGGACTCGCATTGCTTAGCTGGTCCAAACTTTTCCGTCAGCTGTAATGTAGCATTGCTCTCCAGGGGTAGTCCAAAACCCCAGTGCTAATATCACCGAGCAAAAAGACACACACAATCGTCAAGGTACTGGAGTCATTTTGTTTTTGAGAAATCTAACAAGTCTTATCCCTGACAGGACCATCCGGGTCTGGCTGAAACGGGACAGTGGGCAGTACTGGCCCAGTATCTACCACACCGTGTCCTGTAAGTCTGATCCTGATGGCTAATGTCTGTCCATCATTCTATTTTGTGCTTTATTTAAATTAACCTGGTTAGGAATTGAAACCTCTGACACTGAGTACTTTGAGTACTTTTTTGTATTTGCTGGATGTCAGTGCTAGTTTATCTTATTTGGTTCTCGCTCTACTGGATAGATGGATAAATGGTTGGTTTTTCTATCTATGCTTTCTCTATGACCTGTGCAGAGTAGCACATTCAATAAAGCTTCTGTCATTCGTAGCACCCTGTTCCTCTTTGGAATATCACCATGAGAGCAAACGTGTCTTCGTGGGCCAGGACAACGGTGCTGTTGTGGTAGGAAGCCGTGTCTGACCAGTGCTCAGCTCCACTTCCAGTTTGTCAAAGGCACAGTTTAATTGTTATGGGGCCTTAGGCTCAGAAGTGCTGTGACGAAAGGAGAAATGAAAGCCACCGAGAGTCAGCATTATGCAACCTGGCCAATCGTGGCCTAGATTAATCCAGGGAAGGCCAATGAGAAGTCAGTTAGGGCAGTCAGTGATTTTAGATCGCAATACTCCAGTGTAACAGGGGCTTCTGAGGAGGTCCTCCAACTTACAGGGAATGACATGGGGGTTGGTGCTCCAGCCACTGGAAAAAAACCTCACACTGGTCCATTCAGACTAGTGTGATGCTGAGGTATCACCCGCCACATGGCTGCATTCAGGGTCTCATTCTTGAGGTGGTTTGTCATGTTGTGGGTGCGGCAACGCGCTGTAATCAGTGCAAGCTCCGTACCTCTATGGGTTGTTTGTCAGTACTAAGGTCAGCTTTGCCTAGTCATTAGTCATTAAGGTCATTATTACCTATTTTCAGCCAAATGTCATCGATGCAGATCAGCTCAGCTAATTCTGAACTGCCCCTTTGATGGTGGATGTAGGTCACACGCACAGGCCTGTAACGACATGGTCATCACTCCCTGTCAAATATAGAATCTGTCTGAGCTGAGCTTGTCGCGATCATTTGGCCAGTAGCACGAAAACAACACATTTATATGATGTTTTTTTTTACAACTGTACTTCACAGGAATTTAGCATCTCGGAGGATTTTAACAAGATGAACCATGTGAAAACGTACGCAGGTAGGTGAGCTTCCTTCAGCTTTCGTAAGCCCCGTCTTCCACTGGTATTCGGTCTCAGGCTGTTGCTGCTTATGTTGGGCTTGGAGTTGTGCCTCGTCCCAAGTGCCCACTAGGGGGCATCTTTCCCACCCTGGGGGTCCGTTTCACTCGTCTCTAAGACCCACATGGTCGTCAGCTGCTCCCCCCCCCCCTATGGGGAGCCTCATCTCCCCCTTATTAAGCCGTTGCTTTGTGAGCCGCTAAGGCGTCTGATGTGAATGCAGAAGGACTGCTCCCCCCCCGCCACCCCCAGGCGGTTTTCAGTAATGAGGCTGAATGGTTGAGCTCTGTAGCTTCTTCACCTCCTCCTGAAGTCGATGTCTCTGTGTCCCCCCCCCCCCCCGTCTCCCTGTCCCTGTGTCCGCGTCCATGTTGGCAGCCCATCAGAACCGTGTATCGGCCATCGTCTTCTCGCTGGAGAGCGACTGGGTAATCACCGCCGGACACGACAAGTGCGTTAGCTGGATGTGCACACGCAGCGGCGCCATCTTGGGCCGGCACTGCTTCACAGCATGGGCCTCCTGCCTACAGTACCCTTTACTCAGTCACGCCCTCTAGTGGTAAGGGGAATGGCTCATTTTTCCTTTAAACATTAATCCCCTTTGGCTGGTCAGTGGGCTGATGTCATTTCGTCCTGGGTCATCAGACCTTTGTGTCGTCAGAGTCCCTGCTGATGGGTTACAATTTCAGAAACAGGGACGGCCAATTAGAAACCTTATAACTGCAGACGTTTGTGTGTTTTCTGCTTAAAAATAGATAGGCATGGATGTGAGAGGCACTCAGTGCCCTGTTCACCCTGGGGGGGGGGGGGTGACTGAAGACCTGTTCTGTCGCGATGTTGAAGCGGTGGAATTCTCCGGAGACCCTTGTGGCATGAATTTAGCCAAGTGCGGGGTGAGAATCGTGGCCGTCTCTCAGAAATTCCCCCTCCCGAAAACCATTTTCAGTTCCTCATGAAAATTTACCATTTTGCACAGCGTAAAATTGGTGTATGGCATTGGCCGGTTATGACTTCCGTCTTACTGTTTTCCCTAAAATGTATTCGCCTTTGAGACGACCCTCCATCCCAGAGGAGAGCACGTCTGTCTCGCTTGTGCGCCCGTCCTTTCACCGTGACCGTGTACTCGTTCGGTCGGCCCGACCTTAACCAACTGCTCAGATATGACAACGAAACTCAGCACACCTTTGTGGGCGACTATGCCGGCCAGATCACCCTGCTGAGGCTGGAGAGGCAGAAGTGCTCCGTCATCACCACCCTGAAAGGCCACGAGGGTAAGTGGGACCGCAGACCCCCCTGCCTCCAGGCTAGCGGAGCGCGGTAACACGGAGGCAAACGGGAAGCAGGTGTGTGGGCACAGACTGCCCTCTGTCCTCTGTGCCGAGTGCTGTGCCTCTACCATCAAGCTGTCATTGTGTGTCACACAAAGAGAGCGTGGTACAAAGGCACTTCAGTGTCCCCCTTTCGCCCTGGCTGCTGTAGCAGTGGCGTCAGAAGGCTGGCATTCGGAAATGCAAATGCAAAGGACGTGCCTCGCCCCAGCATCGCTAGCAGGGAGGGGGCTGCTCTGTTCCGGTTGTTGGGGATCCTTTTATTTTTCATGGGGGGGGGGCCCTCGTGCTGTGCCGCTGCTACCTGTGATCAGATCTGTGCCGGGTGGGCGGAGCTGGTGCCCCACACCACAGCAGGCCCACTCAGTCAGTAACAACCTGCACCACAGCCTTGCGTTCTAACCTTTTCCTCAGGGAGCATTGGCGCCCTCTGGTGGGATCCCGTGCAGAGGCTGCTGTTTTCCGGGGCCTCGGACCACAGCATCATCATGTGGGACGTCGGGGGACGGAAAGGCCGCACGCTGCTCCTCCAGGGCCACCAGTAAGGGGCGGCACCACTCTGCTCTGCTGAATAGATGAATAATGAATAATTCTGGCCCCTCCTCTCTGTTTTTCGGCACTCCTGGTGGTCTGCCCTGTGCCCACGCTTCTCCGCTTTGTCCCCAGTGAGCGCGTGCAGGCCATTTGCTACCTGCAGCTGACACGGCAGCTCCTGTCCTGCTCTGCCGACGGGGGGATCACCGTCTGGAACATGGACACGCCCCGGGAGGAGGTGACGTGCCCCGCCGGCTTCCCCTCCCTCTCCTCCCCTTAAGCCCCGCCCCCCCCGCGTCTCTGTGTCAGCAGTGGCGATTCGAGACTCTGCTTCCTTCATGTCACACATTCCGTTCGTCTCCTTGGTTACTGGCCTGACCGGCCGTGATCTCTCACCCTGTTGGCGATGATGTTTACGTTCTTCCATTTGTTCGCTTCTACAAACAGTCATGCTGTGTGCATGGGGAAGTAATTTAGCTTAGAACCCCCCCCCCCCCCCCCCCCACCACCTATTACATCATTCCCCCCCTTCCCCCAGGCCCCGCAGTGGGAGGATTGTGACTCCTGTCAAAAGTGTGAGCAGCCCTTCTTCTGGAACCTGAAGCAGATGTGGGACACCAAGACCCTGGGGCTGCGGCAGGTGAGGAGAGGCCTGGCCTCCTTGTGCTCTAAGGTTTAATCTTCATCAGCTGCAACATCGCCCCCAAGTGGCATGTAGAGGTACAAGCTACATAGTGGAAGTGGTGATCAGACAGTTGTACCACATCCAGGCCAACATGCTAAGAATGGCATTGCAGGGATACCACAATGTATATATCTGGCCAAGATGGCCTCCCTCTCAACTTTGACCACTGGCCTATGCCTTGCTGCGTCCTCAGCACCACTGCAGGAAGTGCGGGAAAGCTGTGTGCGGGAAGTGCAGCTCCAAGCGATCCAGCTACCCCATCATGGGTTTCGAGTTCCAAGTGCGGGTCTGCGACCCATGCTATGAGTCCATCCGAGATGAGGAGTGAGTATGCCTGTGTGTTCGACATCATAAATGTATTTGGTGACGTCATAAATGTATTTGGTGACGTCATAAATGTATTTGGTGACGTCATAAATGTATTTGGTGACATCATGACCTCCATGTTCCAGCCGGACTCCCCTGGCCACCTTCCACGAGGGGAAGCACAACATTGCACAGATGGACATGGACCCGTCGCGGGGCCTGATGGTGACTTGCGGTAGTGACCGTGTGGTCAAGGTGAGTCTCATAGACTGCTGGTGGCTCTCGTGTTCTTTAAACCCATCAAAGTGAAACATGTTACAGAATAATGATAACTACTCAATTCTGAAAAGTGACAGAAAAGCGGAACATTGGCTAAGCTTGTGTCTATGGGCCACGTGCTGCTGGGCTTCATGCTGACCCCCTGCTGCCATTCTGTTCTCCCTCCTGTTCTGTGCCCAGATCTGGGACATGACCCAGGTGGTGGGGTGCAGCATAGCCACAGGCTTCTCCCCGCGCTGAGTGATGGCCCCCCTCACCCCCTGCCCAACCCACCTGCCCCGTCTACCTTCTGCCAGACCCGTCCGGCAGACAGACGTCCATCTCGGATCACTGACATCCTCCTCACCTGCTTGCACCCCCATCAAACACACTACATTAACACTCCCAAGTGACACCAAACATGTGTGTGTCGAGTATACAGGAGCTTCTCCAGGCAGGATGGCCTGTGATGCACCCAGTCCAAACATGGCTGGATCAGCCCCAGTTTATGTACTGTAATCTTCCTGCAGCCGTTTTGACCTGACCTCCACCACCCCGCCTGCGCCTCCTCCCACTCAAACCTCCTCCCATCTGCCCTGCCCATCCGACCGTGGAACGTAAATATATATATATTTTTTTGTTAAACCCTTGAGAATTTGAAGCACAAGTTAATAGTTTTGTGGGGTTGGCTGGCTCATGCCTATGTGGAAAAACTGCAGAGCCAGTTATATGCCAGCCGGCTGAAGGGGGTGCTGTCGTGTTTGGACGAGGTGTTCAGGGGCCTCGTAAAAGCACATTTTCAAGGGGTGGGTGGGCATGGGGGCAGTCACTGGGCACCCTCCACGAGACTGCAAAAGACCTCGTGGACCTCTTACGCATTCAGCCCTTGTAGTAAAGATGGTGATACCAGCTTCTGCTGATCTCTCCTCCTCCCTGTCTGAGCTCCTGTTCCTTTATCTCTGTGCAAAGCTTATGAATTCCTTCACTAGATGGCCTTAAAGTTCTCTATGTAATGCATTGGTTGCCTCAGGGGAACCAGTTGCTCGTGCCGGAGGCTGAGGCGGCCGCGGAGATGCCTGTCAGCACAGCTGTCCTCTCCCCGCTGCGTCTCGCTTTACTGTGTGACCGGAGTCAGTTCAGTGCTCTTTACTGGCAGTGATTTGAGTATATTTATATACAGTTGAGAGATGAAACATTCAGCATCTTCAGTGCTGAATTTAAGGGGCTTTTATTAGATGTTTATAGAATGTAGAGTAGATTGAGTCGTAGAGTAGATAGAAATCTATCTCTGGGCGCAAATGAAGTGAAAATAAAACACACTGTAATATCAACTGCATTTTGATATCTTTACATCTGTCTCAAAGCCTGTGGGTTTGTGTGCACACTAGGCAGTGTGACAGAAAAAGAAGCACTTGTGGTCAAGCAGGGTCTCGAGCAGAAAAGTGCTGAGGGCTCTAGGCAAACCATTCCACTGACCACAGGCTGCAGAACCTCTAGTTGTCAGTGTTTCCACGGTTTATGTTGTATTTTAGCTGTCTTCATCAATACCTGCATGTAATTGGTTGCTGTCAGTGTTCCCACAGTCTTATGTTGTATTTTAGCTGTCTTCATCAATGCCTGCATGGATTTCTCTGGGCCTGAATAACATGTAAGGGTTATTTTTCCCTGTATGGCACAGACTTGCACAGCTGATGGTTTTGTGAGCAAATACTAATTTTAAAAATGTTTTGTTTTTGACACTGCTTTTGCAAGTTTTCAGTATTGTGTTGTTTAGCACCATTTTACTGGCACACTGTAAGAAAAACTGCTAATTTTGTGGTCTGATCACTAAAATGCTATCCAAGTATGAGTATCCATTTCTCCTGTTTGTTCCAGTAACTTCCGTGTATACGGAGCCCTGTAGCCTGTATTTACTATGGTATATTGAGTTGTCCCTACTGGGTGTTGATGCAGCAGGTAAAGTTGAAAGTTTGAAGACAATCCTAGAGCAACACCTGGAAATGAGGCCCATTATGCACCAGCTGAGAGTCAAGTCCACTTTTACCAACATTTCTGGTACTTTGTATTTTTTTTTTTTTTATATATATATATTTTTTTTTTAAATGATGGCACTTTTGAATAGTTCTCATTTCTATGTTGTTGGTGTAAATTGCAATGCCATTGTCCATCAGTAGGTGTGCACTTGTGCTGGAAAAGGGGCAGTGTGCTGTTTGGACTTGATGTATGTGCCAGTCGTTGGGTTAGAAAATGTTGAGTTCAAAATGATCTCTAGTAATTTCCTTCTGATTTAAGCCGCAGCTTGGTTGTGTATGTGTTTATTATCACTATTAATGAACACCATTAATAATCACAGTAATAAGTAAGAGAAATTATTTAATTACATAAGACTGTGTTGTTTGTTTACCTTTGGAGTTAACCCACCACCACAACTGCCTTTAATGGCCACTTTACTTCACCTCCACCCCCCACCAAGGATGGTGCAGTTGGGGCTGCTTCTGGGGACCGTCACCTTCTAACGTACCAGCTGTGACATACAATGTGAATCAGCAGCAGTTGCGTCCTGCACGCCAGCCCTTGTAGTTACCATACTGTTGTGTCTAGTCTGTATTTTTAAAGTGGACAAACCTGCCAGTTTGTGTTGAAGCCCTGCAGTGAATGGATGGTGTGGATTCTGGAAGCTCAATAAAGTTATACTTATTAAAACCGAGTGTTGTTTGTGACGCCCCCTTTCCTAAGAAAAGATGCTACGTTTAAGGCAAATCTCACATCAGTCAATGTGTGAATTTAATTTCAATTGAATATATTCCACGCAAGTAGCGACAGCTCACAGTGATACAGGTTCCCAGCCACACCATAGTTATGGCACAACATGTCCTTTAGAAACACTTGTACATGATTAAAATGCTTTTTGCACACATTTAGTAATGCTGTTAATATGAAAACATGCCCTGGCTGCTCCGTGGGTGATGACCATCGCTTGCACATTCACTGTCCTGCCAAAATCACATCATGGAGTCCAGCTTTCTGAAAATGCTGTCTCTAACTTGTTTTGCTTGCAGTGCCTGATGGGAAACTCTTATTTGGCACCAGCTGACTTTCAGGTCTAACACTGAGACGGTGCAAGCTGCCGCGCGGCCGAGGAGAGACCTGCTGTGTCCTTCACAGCTGCAAATCGCCCTCCGATTTTGGTTTCATTCTGAAAAACAATCCTCTTGCTGCATCCCCAACACGTATCGGACCGTCATAAAGAAAAGCTGTGTGTCTCAGCCTTAAACCTGCCGGGATTTACTCTTTGATCAGATACCTCCTCTACACCTTCTTTATAAAAACTGACAGCATCGTGGTCATGCTCCTCTTCTGCACTGTGGTCTTTGGTTAGTAACAGTAAAGATCACACTGGAGAAACACCTAGTCATCCAGCCCTCTCAGGGTTACACACTGAGGGATAAAAATGATTTAAAGATTTGTTAGGAAATAACCCGATGAGATTTTAGTGTGGCTGCTACGCTCTGCGGCTGTGGAAAAGGCATCTCCAGTCCTGGGTTCGCAGGTCAAGCGGAGGATCCAGCAACTCAGTGGGGCTGGAAGGATTTGGCGAGCTCCTCCAGCAGAGTCATGAACCTCTCCTTCTGCTCCAGCGAGCTGTGGGTCCAAGCCAGAGGCAAGTGGGTCGGGATCACCTTGCGGTCTGGAACAGACGCATCCTATCAGGCATGGGGGCCATTTCTAGACAAGATTGTGTCGTTACTGCGACTAACCCTAAGCCTTATTGACTGCTTAGCAAGAATTCAGCCACAGATGCTCGAAACTGTAAGCTGGTTTAATTCTGGACTCCTCTGTAACTGAAGGTGCGGTGGTGTGTCCCTCCCCCCCGTCAGAAGTGACCGTATTGAGGCCTGTCTGTTTCAGGCACGGGCTGGAGAATGAGCTCATGGTGCGTGAGACTGAGCGGTACTGGGCTCACTGGCACCGTCTGTCACTGAGCGAGTCAGGCTCCAGCTGCAGTGGACCTGCGCCAGGCCCGGCCGTGTCCACCGCCCCCCCTCACCACCACCCGCC